TAGAAAAGCAAGAGGACACAGTAGAGTGGGAGAAAGAGAAGGTTTACATCTACAACTACATAAATGACCTGATGGATGATCCTCAGCTAGAAGAAGAAGGTAAGAAAGGAGATTATATAAACAGGACATACATTGATGTAAGGCAATATGGTAAATGTACTGTACTTGTTTTAGCTTTTTTTAGACCGAGGAGTCCAGAGCGCTTCACACTACATTCACACATTTAGTTAACATTAAGCTCCCCTGTAGCGGCCTGACAGAAACACATCTGCTATAGAATTGGTTGAACTGCTCCCTTTGACCAGCATTTACATGGCAGGGGTTAAAGCATGGACGATATTTGGATTTCAGAAGTGTGAGTGTGTGTGTGTGTCTTGGAGTGGGTGTTTGGGGGGGGGGGGCTACAATTACCCTTTAATATAACTATATATAATTTTCTGCTTTTTTTTCTAGCAGTTAGTCTGTTTGTTTCCTCCACTTTCTCTTGCATCACTGCTATACCTCTCCTGACAAAGCATAGGACAATTGGATAATTTGGGGTCAATCCATGTAGATTAAAAACACATAGTTTTACAATTATTATGAGCTTTGATATACAAAATCACATTGTTAGATTGTACTTTTTTCCTTTTTTATGATAACAATAATGTATTACAATTTTCTTCATCAGCGCTTCTAATAAAATAAATATAATTTACAGGACTATTGAGATCTTAATAATTCAGTGAAGGATCTTGAAGTGAATATGCTGCTCTATGCAGCCTGTGAAAATGTTGTAGGAGGGATTTTACACAGTTCTTTAAATATAACTTACACTTTGACTTTTTAAGGGGACTCTTATGTCTCTCTTTCTTTTTTCAGGCATCGTAGCTGCGAGTCTAATAACCAAACACATGCGCATGACACCATTTCAAAGACTCATGTAAATAAGACATCTGATGTAACAACCCTCCTAGATTACATGACCAAAGTGAAGAACAAATGGCCAACAATAATAGCAGATTCCTTCACTGTCGACAATCTCTTCCTGGACCGTTTAAGATATATAAAAAAAAAAAATCCAAAACGTATCCAGAAGGCAGAGAATCAGACTTGCAACCCTACAGTTCTAATTACGGCAACACATAGAACTACAGCAGCGCTGTGACCCTCCAATAGCAGACCCCATTCAGTGGCGTATAAACTGAGCTTTTCAGGAGTGACGGCGATGACAGCCAATCACACAAGACAAAGGACCCATCAGGATCTTGGGAGCTGTCTAAACTCATGGAGGTGGGCTTCAGCTTGAGCTGCGTTTTTTCCGCCTGGTCCTAGTACTCCTGCCCTGATTGGATGATAAGGACCTAATTCACTTCTCCTCCCGAATCCTCAACCTTTCCTCTCCAACAAATGAACATGCTGATCCCAATAGAAATGTCTATTATTTTAGCGGTGCTACTGTCTTGTCTTGATGAGGTGAATGTCATGTCTTCAACCAAGTATCTTCTGGGCTGTTATTCTTTTCCCCTCCAAAATAGAAATCAGGACAATCTTAGCATAAGTATGTGAATAGTAGAGATGGTATGACAGAGATATCAATAAGCCTGACCTGAGAGGAAACCATTTACAGTTTTTGTAAAAGGCTGAACTTTCCAAATGTCCTATCCTGCTTGTGTGGTTTATGTTAAGATCAATTATACTGATTTATACCATTAACATTAACATAACATTACATTAAAAAAACTAAGTATACAGTATGAACCTCTAATGTTGGTAAGCTGATCTACTAGTAGTGTGTTTCCTTGAGGGCTGCTACTTCCTCTATTCTTTTTTCTGCCATCAAAGGAAATGACCAAAAAAAAACACAACAGTAAAAGCAGATCTGAAAAACAGCTTTCAATGCCACATGGTTTACAAGTGTAGAGCTGTACTTCATCAACTCAAGAAGCTGAACAATTAAGCCCAACCTTTGCTGTATCAGAATGTCCTCAGATATTTACTGAAAAGTAGATTTAACCAAGAAGATCAGATATACCAAAAGGGAGCAAAAGAACACAGCCGAATGGGAGAAGAGGGAAGTAAATATCTATGAGACTGTAGAAGAATTTACTGATAATTACATAGTTTCTCCGCCTCAGGAAGAAGGTGAGTAAATCATAGGTGATTTAGTTTGTTTTAAGGATCTTTTAATGAAGCTCTTAATACTGCGGTTATCTATAACTGCAGAACAAAAGCATCTTTAGTTTTTGGTAATTGAAATAAAAAAAAAAAACAAAAAAAAAAACGGAAGCTCATAAAAAACAAGAAGTTGAAGTATTTTTATCTTCTGCTGTTTCTGATAATCATGGCTCGTAGAAAGGAAAGCACAATTCAAAGAACCAGAACTGCTGGTCATCCACTGTATTAAGTCCTCAGTCATCAGAGAAAACTCTGCGTGATTTTTAGAGTTCTTTATGCTTCCATATTATTTCCCTGACAAGTTTTATGGAGATACAGACCTCATTCTTCAGAATGACTAGATAGCAGCTATA